CTAACTTAAAATGGTCAAAGCTTATATGATCTTAGTTTTCCATTTTTATCTCCGCATCTAGTGTGAAACAGAAGCTCCTCAAAACAGCGTTTGAAAGCGAAAGAATTTTTTTGCAACAAAATTACAAGCAAGCAAATCTGTTGCAACAGTGCATAGCATAGCTACAAATTTTCTGAAAATGAAACGACAGAATTTTCGGACCCACCTAATATTTCTATAATTTTGCTTTGCCTTACTTAGTGTGATTTGGCATATACCAGGTTCCTCGCCTATCAGGGACGAGGCAGCTTGCACATCTTTACTAACCCCTCGCTACCCTCGGCTCCCCCTTTTAAGTGCTATTGTCGTTCTCAAAATGTAATGCTAAACATCTCCCGTCGCTGTGAGAATGCACAGGGACGTCGTAACAAATCATGAATTGGGGAATCATGACAAAATCATTAATAAAGAAAGTTTCCCTTCTTAATGCTGAGCATGATTTGGATAGGTACAATACAACGGTATTCCTTTGAAGAATCTCTTCGATAGCTTCAAAGGTAATCTAGAGCAAACTCAGACAATCGCCGGGGGCAGGCGGGCACCGGAAAAATAGATTGCTGATCTCTCGCACCCCGCTCGCGGATTTTTTGCAAAGCAATCAGGACTTTTCGGAAGACCGCTTGCTGAATTCTCGATTCCTCAGAGATTCAGCAATATACCTGCAAAAGATAAGAGCGAAAAAAAATTCGACAGGCGGTCTCTCAAAAATCCGCTGACTCAGCAAGCGGTCTTCCGAAAAGTCCTGATTGCTTTGCAAAAAATCCGCGAGCGAGGTGCGAGAAATCAGCAATCTATTTTTTCGGTGCCCGCCTGCCCCCAGCGATTGTCTGAAAATTTGGTTATTTTAACTACCCAAAAGTACGCGATTTTTCTAGGACTTCCTTTAGATGATCGTTTCGCACATACCGAGCACAGATTTAGAATCAGTGTATCAAGTCGCACCTTACAGTATATATCGCATTCGCACACGGCTATTGTTACAGTTGTCTTGTCGCGATCAATCGCGACGATCAAATCGCGTGGACTCTGCCCAAGGCCTCAGGCTCCAATTTGTAACAATAGCCGAGTTACGAGCTTACGAAATCACGTTGCAAATCTTATGTAGACTTCGCTCAAAGGGTCTCCAGTTTTGGATATCGTACACTTGTGGGTTTCACCTATTCAGTTTCTCATTTAAATGTCAAATCAGCTTCGTGGCTACAGTTCAAATCCTAACTACCATATCCAATACAGTAGGATCCTTTGAGCGAAGTGAATAAAATTTGCCATCAGAGTGTTACCCAACTCTCAAGAGAATTTTTACTAAGCATGTGTAGTTGAGGTGTACTCGAGGGAACAGTAAACGGCTAATAAAGGATATTCGTTGACGACAGCCCCGTTTCGTGCAATTACACCACCACGGGCGTGCCTTTTTGAAGCCTTTCCAGCTTTACAGTAGGCTGCAGCTGCGCGGGGTATTCGCAGCTCACAGCATGCCCGTACTTTAACCTCTCTTTGTTGTTTGAGTATTTCACATCGTTTTTCTCCTTAATTTTCATTTTAGGCAGTTACACATTATACACGCCAAATCATTGTTCCGGAAAGAATTGGAAGGAATAATGAGGTTTCTTCAAAGCTGCAATGGCGGATATCGTGGCTATGATTAAAAGTGCAATGTTTCTTCGGTGTTTCATAATAATTTGCTTTTTTTATTAATGGAGACTGCTGAAGTGGCTGTTTCAGCACTTCTACATCAAGGAGACATGTAGGCGTGCTAAAATAAGTTAGTAGTTAGATAGTTTACAATTCTAAAAATGTTTGTATGATATGTAAAAAGGAGCACGAATTCAGTAACTGTACCAAGACTTTTTCCTGCTCTTTCAGTATCCATCAAAGCAGAATGTTTAGAATGCTCGACCAAGACAACTTCAAAGAAAAGGAGAACGAGTAATTGATGAGCAAGTGCCTGAACTGTAAAGCTGTAAAGTGCCTGTAGCATACTGTAAAGCTGGAAAGGCTTCAAAAAAGCACGCCCGCGGTGGTGTAAATGCACGAAACGGGGCTGTTGTCAACGAATATCCTTTACCAAGAGACTTGATTGAGTTGTACTTGTGCCACGCGGGCTTGTATGTGGTGTAGTGTACCTCAACTCAAACTTGGGTAATTAAACCGCATTTACTTCTAAACCGATAAATAAAACGCAACAAAATAAACATAAAACAAAATAATATAAAACATGTAACTAGGACTACATAACGAATGAGTATTAATGCCAAAATGATAATAATGGAAATGAATGGTAAAAAATATGCTCGAGTCATTTGTAACTTAATATGCGTAATGCACATCATACGCCCTATTTGACGAACTTATAAGATTGGAACCTGCTCGTTTCAGCAATTTCACCTTGTTTCTTTGTTTCTTTTAATTTAATAGGATACCGGTTGGTTAATAGTATACAATTTTACAGTTTGTTACGTTAAAAAAGATTTGATTGAGAAGTTAATGTTAAGGGTGCCGTACGTTGAAAGGCTTTGTGTGCAGTTTCACATATTAAGTTACGAATGACTCGACGATATGTGTGCCAATCAGAATTGTTACGATACTCAATGTCTTCTTCCTACTATACTATACTGTCTTCTTCCTACGATACTTGTTTTTATACTTGTTTCATAGTCGCTTGAAATTGGGGGGAGGGGGGGGGGAAGAATGCAAAAAACCTGCACACACTCAAGTCAGAAATTATAATTCTATCATATCGCAAGCTTATATATCTTGATGATAGATGTTATGAAAAGATTTGAAAAAGAAATGTGAGTGACTTAAAATGATACTTGTGTGAAGCAGCCGAGGCGATGCAACTTTCGCTGCGCTCGACGATCCCTCGAAATTATCTCGTTTATCTCCGCGATGCTGAGAAACTGGCGCGCAAAGCATACTTTCTAAAATAAACATAACCACAAAGAAGACTTTAGCTCAGTAATTACTTGTATATTGTGGACTAATTCTCTACGTATTGTGAGTCGTTTCACGACAGCACGCGATATTTACATTTTGGGCAATATTCATGATGACGTGATGTCGTAAGCTCATAACTCGGTGTTTGATAAATATTGGAATCTGAAACACCATCCTTTGATATCACGGTTACTAGTGACTGACTTCAGCTATAAAGACGAGCAGACAATTTCTCTAACAATTGCTCGAAAAGTGCAGGCGAGTTTACAAATCGTGGCTTAGACACAGCCACCTCACCATATCTGTGCAAAAAAGACCCTGTACTCCACAGAGACTACGATTTTCGTGAACAGCATGTTCGAGAACTTGTATGAGCAAAATTTCCTCTCATCCAAGATCATCGACATCTTGACCAAAACCCATCGGCAAAGCTTCAGAGCGCAGAAAGAGAAAAAAACAAAGAGTCCGAATTTCCTGCAAAGCTTGCTCATAGAGATCATCTGATCAAGTTACAAATATCACATGTGCTCATCAAGATTGTTCCGTTTTCCAGGGTTGCGATGAGACAAATTTGAGAGAGAGCACAATTTATAAAAAATTCACCAGTTCTTCTATCTCTTTTGAAACAAAGTCTCCCCTTTTCAGCGCCTGTTAATCTAAAAGAACAGCATTGTCGAATGGTGCTTTCTGGAGCCTTCTTTGTGTATGCGCTGCGTTACAGGCTTGCGAAAAGACGTCCTAAAATTGAAATCTTAATATAAAAGACTAAAAACGGAGTAGAGGGCATGCTGCAGTCAAAAAATTCGCCTCAGTGAGCTGAGCGCAGTGCAGTGCTTTTCTCGGATTCAGTATATATTGAAGAAAGTTATGGCGCCGCGTAAACCCACGGAATGTCGCGGGATATTTTATTTTATTTATTTATTGATACACTGCTTGTACACAGGGCGCCACTCAGAGATACGAATGAAGCGACAGACAAAGACAAATGAAACGAAATTGTGACATGCTTAACACCCTAGAGAAATAAAGGAAAGTGACTCTTTGAACCAGATGCTCATCAGGTTGTTTTCAAAGTTAGTGTCGTGCAGGCTAACAAGGGAAGGATACTTGGTGACCGTGGCTTCTTGCAATGAGATGCATTCCAGTAGATGCGCCTTGAAACGCTGATTCCAAATCTATGATCATTATCTGCTGTGCGAGTCTCTGAACGAAATTATGGACTTTTTTCCATATTGATTTTGTGAGATTTAGGCAGTCAGAATCGTCAGTATCCAGGCTTTTTAGGCTGTGATATATCGGAAACAGTTTTCTGAGCTTAACGTGAAGCTTTACTTCATTTTGACGCTCTTTTATAGTGCATAAGCGAACATTCTAACGATATTGGTGAATCCTGGATCAAAAACAGTGCAAATTTTTGTGGCAAGAAATGTTCATAACTTCTTTTGGAAAAGCGCACAGCAGATACCGAAAACAGATTTGGAATCAGCGCTTCAAGTTGCATTTAATGGTTTACGTTCCATTTCAAAAGGCCACGGTCACCAATCCTTCCCTTGTAAGCTTAGTATAAGTACAAGTCCAAGTACAATGCGTGACGGTATAGAAATATACGGCCACTTTCGGGCTAAGGAAGAGCGATGAGCACCTGGGCGAATGAGCGAAATCATACGTACCCGGCGGGCAGGAAACCTCGTTCGGCTTACCCCACCAACACTAACATCGGCCTTGGATACAAGATGATCAAGGATAAGAGACAAACATATAAAACTACACGACATAGACGATGTCAAATTTAGAAGACAAACACCAAGCTGCGTATGTAATAAGAGAGCCTCTGAGGTCATGAACATGCCAGCACAGCAATACGAAGATAACTGATGGAACAAGATGGCCATACGAATGTATGCTATACTAAAACCCATATAACGAGAAACTGAAAACAGAACAACAAGTAATAGCCGACTTAGACAAAGGGAACGTAGACCGAAGTTCAGCAAAGCTGTATGGACTGAATTGTACAGGCAGCCATGCAAGGACCTCTGAAATCAAAAACGGATATGCCGAGAAATGTGGCAACATTTTCGATGGTACGTTCTGTATTTCAAACCTGCCCCAGGCTTTACCCGGAAAATTCGGACCCCATATTTCGAATCACTGAACGCTCAATTGCTTTCAGAATCAGCGCCGAATCATAATCCACTTTCGGAAAGTTCGAATTTCAAACATTTATTGGCGTTCCACACGCTTATATCTGAAAACCGTGCTAAAATTTGGTGGTTTTGATGAGAACTCTATTGAAATAGTATGACGAGTTACGCGAACGAGGAAATTTTGTTTCATATTCTCTAGAGTTTGCTCTATTCAATCGTTAGTTGAAATTTTTCGGAGGGAGGGGCAGGAATAGGCAATTTGGAGAAATAGTGAAAGTTTACTATGGCAAATCTCTATGGATTAGTTATGGTAATTTTCTGAGAAGGGATTCGTCTACTAAGCTGTGAAAAAATATAACCATTTGGAAGAGCATGAAAAGATGCATCAAAGTTGCCGATATCTTTTGGAATCGTGATTCTGCGGGATAAAACGCTCGTTTGGAAGCGAAAATTACTTTCGGAGACTTAATATCGCAGTTAGGTGATACAAGATATCGTCGAGTCATTTGTAACTTGATATGCGTACTGCACACCATGTACGCTATTTGACGAACTCCAAGATTAGAACTTGCTCATTTGCGATGATTTCTGTTTGTTTGCCTGTCTGTTTTTGTTTTTGTTGGACATATGTCATTAGTAGGACACAAATTTAAGGTTCTTTAGGCCATAAAGGTTTTATTGACAAGGGAATGGTCAGAACTGAAGTGGCCAATCCATGCGAGCTGCATGCCATTAGATGCAGCATAAAACGTTGTCTGTCTTCCTTATCTGCAGAACGCTTTTGTGGGCGAAATTATAACCCGTTGAAGGTCATTATTTGCTAAGAAATTGTGCGTGTCGGGTGCAAACTTGGTCTCATAACTTCGCCTCCGAAGGCGCTTTGCAGATATGGAAAACAGATTTGAAATCAGCATTCTATGTTGCATCGAATGGTATGCAGCTTGTATGGATTGGCCAGTTCGACTTCTGACTATCTTCTTGTGAAAAGTTACTAGTAAGGGTGCCGTCGCTTGCTGCGCGGAGTGTGCACTTTCACATATCAAGTTACAAATGACCCGCGGATATTTGTGGATCAGAACTTGACCTGCTAGTTTTTCTAAGCAAAAGCAGGATAAATCATCATGTGAGTCTAATTTTTAGCTATGATCAAAAGTATGATGGTCCACTGTAACGCACTGTTTCTTAGTCAGAAGCATCTCTGTTACTACGCAGCTTCACCTAAAGGTTTCAAAAGGGGTCGCTTTTCAGCGATTTGTTATGTTCAAAAGAGACTACCATCAGGATGTGGACCACGAGGTCTGCGGGGGTCTGCGGAATTACTAACAAATGCAGATGGCCTTTGCTGATGGCCTTTGCTGATGCCTGATGCTTGGTGATGACCAACCGGCCTATCATACCCACTATCAGAAAAGCAGTGGCGGACCGAAGGGGGGGGGGCGCCCCCCCCCCCCCGAAAATGGGTCGCGAAATTTTCTAAAACTTATCTATATGGGCTATAAAGATGTGCAAACGACTTGTTTGTTTTTGTAGATAATTAAAATAGTTTAAAATTTTTTAAAAATTCGAATTAGCCTTAAAAAAGAAATTTTTCGGGGGGTGGCTGACGCCACGCCCCCTTTTTCCAGATTTTAGGGGTTGGGGACCCGCAAAAGTTTTAAGAAGCATCCCAAAAAATTTTTCGGAGTGCGTGGCTACCGCCACGCACCTTCATTTGAAAAAAATTTTTGTCGCGCCCCCCCCCCCCGGTCCGAAATCCTGGGACCGCCACTGCAGAAAAAGGAATACCCCTACATTATGCTTACGGGAACAAATAATATGATTCGAATTTTTTACCAAGTTCTTCACATAAGCAATTGTGGAGAAGTATTCAGATCTGGAATGATATCCACGAAAGTCCCAGCGAAATGGGCTTTTCGTGCGAATAAAATGGACTTAAAGGCAGCGGCTCGGCAGAATAGACCTACCTTAGAATTTGACGAAGATGGATAGAAGGCTCTCCAAGTGAACCAAAACGGCAGCTCCGGACCGAAAATGCGAATTCTGCAAGCCAGGAGGGCGAGCCAAGCTCCGCTCCCCTTCCTCCTTTCGCTCCCCTAACACCTTGGGCGGACGAGTTGGCAATTTCTTTCTCACCATTGGAAGCTGCCCTCCACAATGGTATAAGTATTGGGTCCCGCCACGATTCAGCGTCATCCACCTTTCTCCACTCGTCCAATCTCAAGGGTAAGGGCATCGAAAAACGCTCGTTTTCGCCGTTTTCAAGCTCTCTAATGTGGATTTTTGGAATCAACGCCTCGAATTACCCCCAGGCAAGCGAAAAACTTCAAGTCGAGAATCTGCCGAGCCGCTGCCTTTAATCCATGTGGTGCATAAGATATCGCACTCGCGAATCCGTTCATTCCATACGAAGATGCTTCAGCAAACCCTTCCCAAACTTGCCTCAACCTGTTTACTCACTCTTGCAAACTCATTTCCACCAAGTGGTCATTATCTGACTAGGCTGTAACAACTAACATTACAATGTCGTCACGTGGATATTCTATTCTTTCCGACTTCGTTACACCTCACAAAATGCCACTTATTATCGATGACTATGCAAAACTATGACTATGACTATGACTACTTACTCAAAACTAAAATTCATGTAATTTCCGAAAATCCTTTTTCAAGCTTTCTATGAATCTGCATTAAATCAATTTCGTATGCAGAGCTTTTTGCAGAAAGCGAACTTTGGCTAGAGTTGCACTGCAATCGGTGAATTGAAATGCTTATCTCATAAGAATTCTTGTACTACACTGCAACCTAAGGCCCCGGGCAGACTCCACGCGATTTGATCGTCGCGAGTGAATCGCGTCGAGACAACTACAACATCATTCCATGCCGATCAACTTGCATTCGGTTGTGATACTTTTCCAGCCCGAAATTTTTTGAATGCGAAATGAAAATGAATGGGAATCTTGGCGATTAGATCGCGACGATTAAGTCGCGTGAAGTCTGTCCGGGGTCTTAAGGGTTTTTCAAGTCGCAAAAACTACGAAGCTGCAAAAGATGACTTCCCAAATGCTCTATTTTGCACTTCTTTCACTAATGTTCATGTCTCTAGTTAGTTGAACGTATGGACTAACGCTAGTAAGGAATTTTTCACAAAATTTTTCTTGCCTAGCTAGCGGCACTTCAGTAATTCTTGCGACCAAACTCAAAATCTGTTCAAAATCAAAAGCGTTTGAAATGCCGTCTGTGGGGTTCTAGGAGATTAGTTAAAAGATAGCTCCTGAGTGATTATATTGAGACGCAAATCATTTTAATGTCAAATACAAATTATGAATTTAGTTTTGGTTGATGATTTAAAGAGTTAACAAACTTTATTTGATTTACATAGGAATTTTCGCATCGACCTCATATTTGGAAGCATTTGAGTTTGTTAGCGAATATTTGGTAAATTTAATCTTCTTCTACGATTTTTATAGCATATGTATGAGTTCAAAAAGAAACACTTATTTCAAACTTCATTAAAAACATGGAACTTTTCCCACTCACCTTTTACCTTAAAATAGGTTAAGGAACACATCCTTAAATAATCGCAATTCAAAACATGCGAAAAGATCAAAAATGGTCTTGGTCCTAGCTCACTTTGCTGCTGGGAGTAAAATAGGCTTTTAAGTCCATTTAGAATGGAAGTAAATCTTATTTTCCCCATTCTAAATGAACTTTTCATGATTCTTTCGCAAACAAAAGCTCAGAGGATTGAATCATTTCCATTATACCGCTTTGCCTCGTGATTGCGATGGGATAAAAAATTTTGGATAACGCGAGCGAAAACATTCCGACCACTCTTCACCGCGAACGAACAAAATGGGGTTTGAAAGTCCATTTTCCCCAAAAATGTTTGGGCGAAGTGGGAGCATTGGTAGTAAAGCTACCGCCTTGACTGAAATATGCTAAGTTCAAAGCAAGCTACCCAACCAAACTAGGACAACTTAATGACCCCCTACAAGTAAAGGTAAAACAAAGAGAGCTAGCTATTGGTTATGTGCCTCGATGTTGTGTCATTGCTGGCCTCAAGTTATGGATGAAGAGAGAGTGAAAATCAACATCGATCCATAGATTACACAATTCAAAAGGCATCACTGGCGGTCAGCACGGAAGACTCGAAGACCTCCTCGTAGGGTTTGAGGTTTGCAGCGAAATGATGAATCCGGGGCCATCTTGGTCTACGGATCACATTACAGATCATGAAATTACTTAATACTAGCTGGCTTTGCTGGTCCAGACCGGTCACCGCTTAAGAGGATGGTCAAAAACCACACTTTGCCTTTTCCCCTTCTCGTTTTTTTTGGTTCAGCCATATTCTCCGCTCCTTTTCTGCAGTCTCAATACTGCATCGAAAGCCCCTCCCTCTTAGGCCTCCGGCAGAGTTCATGCGATTTGATCTCGCGATTGATCGCGACAAGACAATTGTAATAATATCATTGCATGTTGATATTCTTGCATTTCGGTTGTGATAATTTTCCAACACGACTAATCGTGACTAACTATCACAACCAAAATAGAAGAAGATCGTCATGCAGTGAACTCGTAACACTTGTAGCGGAATCGCGACGATTGGATCGCGTGAATTCTGTCCGAGACCTTACCCTCCTGGCTTAGCTGAGAAAGGTTGACTGAAGCAACTGCATCTTCTACACTTCAGAACGAAAATGAACTTTTCATTGTCAACATCAAAATGTCAAGCGGTTTGACGGCTGGTAAGTGTTCGTTTTCATTGCAAGGTGCCAAAAATCACTAAATCAACAGAAGAATTTCGCAATCACTTCGAATGGCAGCTTAAAGGCAGTGGACAGGCAAAGTGAGCCTTCATGAGATTTCAAAGGCGTCCGATAGTAGTCCCCCTAAGAAGCCCGCAAGTCCACCCCCCATTCGCGAATACGCACACTAACACAAGAAAGCACGTCCGAAAAGTCCACCTAAAACACCCACTCCACCTGGCACGCTCCCTTCACTGATTTCCCCAAAGTGCGCAGTTGAACGGCATTCGAAGAGCGCGCGTAACGTGGAGCTTCGTAGGCGCCCAATCAATAACGCTGCTTGGTGAAATATTTGCAGAGATTTCATGTTTTTCGACAGTATTTGAAGATTTTTTTGTATTTTCAAGTGTTCTCATTGTACAACAGAGGCGTAACGGCCTTGTTTCCAGTGTTGCTCACTTGAATAGTAGCTCTGGCACTACTACAAGGCAAGTTCTTCCACTTGAATACATTAGCGTCGTCCTCTTGCTGTTTTCTTCGTTCTAGTGAGGATCTCTGAAACCTTAGCTTATTTGTATTTAGTGTTCTCGTCCTGCCTGTAGTTTGTATGGACCCCCTCTCCCTGCTCACTCGCACATATGTAAATGGTGTTCCTTCGTGCAATATTTACAAGGTAATAAATAGTTAGTTGTGATATGATGGGTGCATTATGGCTGTTTCGCCTTACTTCTATTGTAGTATAGATTGTTTTCAATCATTATGTGTGTGGTTTTCTATTTTATGTTGCTGTATGTTCTAATGTGAGATTGTGTTTATCTATAGTAAGCATTTATAATCTAATTTGTGTGTGTATGTGTATGTGTATGTGTATGTGTATGTGTATGTGTATGTGTATGTGTATGTGCATGTGTTTGTGTATGTGTATGTGTTTATGTATGTGTATGTGTTTGTGTATGTGTATGTGTATGTGTATGTGTTTGTGTATGTGTATGTGTTTGTGTAGTGCATGTGTATGTGTATGTGTGTGTGTCTCTATGTGTTTGTTTGTTTGTTCGTTTGTGTTTGTTAAATTAAGTGAATACGAGGTACTCAAATGTAAACCACGAATGTAATTATAATGAATGTTTCAGGTTATTTTTGCTATTGCAAATTCGTCAATGTTGTCGCTTCCCCGCAAGAGGCCTGAAGTTCGAATAAGGAGGAATAAGGTGGAAATTACAGGCCTGGGCACAGTGAGTCTATTTCACATTTGTCTGCTAATACTCTCACACCAACTAGAATCCACCAAAGGCTTAGATTTTTTGTTTTTAGGTGTTCACATTATGCTAGAAGGAGAAAAAGGGCTCTTTCTTGTTCACAGTCACATGAACTCTTGTTGGCAGACCTTTCGCTCAAATTTTTGACAGTAAGTTATCACATCAGTGTTCGCTCGGGTTTAATAAGCCCTTAGATTTTGTTTTTAGGGTTTCCTCGCAAGTAGAAATGGCAGTCGAACCCATTGCTGCTTATCCGAATCGATCGCCTTATATATGGATCGCTCAAATATTTGGTTGATACGCATGTTCTATTGTTTACTACATTTCTGTTTTTCTTTGGCATGCCTTCAGAGTTCTCTTCTACGTTGTTGCTTCTATTTATTCGACCGTTTCTTTTGATGCTCAGCAACCTCATTTACTTCGTCATGTTTTTTGATGCGGCCAGTTGAATCAAAAATAATTGTGCATGTCATGGCATCCCCAAGATTCGCAGTTGCTACGAACTTTTTTCACTGTTCTGTTGTGGAAAATCTAAGGTTACAAAATAAACTGATTGCCAATTATGTGTTTATCAAAGACAAAGACAAAAGATAACAACATGCCCGGTGCACCGGGGCTCATCTACGGTAGTTGTCAAATGCGAATTACACATGGGATGAACATTGTAAACGTAGCACAACATGATAAGTCAACAGCCAAGTCTTAAAACAGCGTGTGGAATAAAATATGACTTTCGAGGTTACGAAAAACTATAGGGTCGAATTGCTTGCGGAAAATGGATAGCAACAATGATTGAGACTGACATGACGAAAACGATGAAAACAATTAGGCGCATTCCAGGGAACGTTCTACAGCTGACGCCAACCTCTCCGAGATCGGAAGCCTTCTGAAAACAAGCGAGATAGATAAATCACATCTCCAAACCAATCAAAGCAGAAATAAAAATATATAAATACTTCAAATTTATTAATTGTATGGTGATGATTTCCAGACTTTGGCGTGATATTTCGAAATAGAAAAGTTGTACAAGCTGAGAATGTAAGAAACTTCAGGCTACAAGTTTCAACTATGGTAAAGGCGAATACGTGTCTTTGCTTCCTTTGTGGAAGCAGAATCAAGACCTGTTTTGCGACACGCACGTCACATGTCAAAGTGCATAACAGAATTTTCCTTTCTCTGCTCAAGCTTTTCACATCGACCACGCAAGAAGTACTGAGGAACTGTTATGAAGGTTTTGACATCAAAAGAAGATATGTATGCATCAGTCACTTCGTTAATACTGTGAGTGCAGCTCCGCAAATCAGTGACAAACTAATTCTCTATCATGTAGGCATAATATCTCTTAGCAGAGATTGTTGTAAGCGGTGGAGGTTTGTCAAAAACGGCCGAAGGTATCGCTTACGTCAATGACGGAGACATTCCTGCGCAGATTCCAAGCAGCTTGAACACCGCAATCAGAACAATTGCAAGAGAAGTTAGTTTTGGAATCGTTCATGTTTCCAGTTATTCATATGAAAATTGCCAAGATAACATCACTATTGCCGCACCGGATGTAGGAAAGTATGTAAATTTCTACATGAAAAGATACTATAGCAAGGAGGGTAGGTGGAACAACCTGCAAGGATTCGAAGCAGACGAAGAGCAGACCGAAGTGCAAGTGGGTAAATGCAACATATGCAACCGCCACCACTCGAGCGCGCTTTGTGTGATGCACACTTTCGAAGTAGCAAAGCCCAAAAATGCTAATTTTCATGCTGACGAAAAGTCAGGCGAAAATTAATTATAGAGGAAAAATGAAAAAGCAGCTACACAAAGCGTCCCGTCAAATAAGACGACAAGCACATAAATAAATGTTTAGAGAGCGGTGGAGCCAAGAAGCAGTGCAGTAGTTGAGAATGTGCAAATGGATACCAACACAGCGCCCATAGCTGGTGAAGGCAACAACACACCGTCCAAACAGACAACTTCCACATCTCCTCAAAAAGCATCGGTTAGCGCAAATAAACCCAAGATCGTCTCGTTCACAGGCCAAGATGGAAGAAACGAGTAGATTGGTGTTTCAGAGCGGCTCCTGTTACACACCACAAAAACTGTCCGGATACGAGAGTGAAGATCAGCTTCTCAAAGAAACCGATTTGGAGCTGCTGGATAAGTACTTCGTGGTGCAAGGAAGGAAGCTCCTAGAGCTGTTTTTCCTCACTCGATGCGACTGTGAGATTAGTGAAACCGGGGTTCGCCTGTCGAACAACGGTTCCACTCCCATCATTCAATACGTCACCAAGGGCATAAAGCCACAAATCAAGAGATGGGAAGGGCAGGAAAAGATCAGCTCAGGTCGTATCGACAAGCTCTACACCGGCAACGCGTTGGCGTGTATCGCGGCTACAACTACGGGAGTCCGCATGAATGTAAAAAAATTTCCCGGTCGCCTCAACTCTAAACAAAAATTTCAGAAGTTGCGGCGGTGGGCTTCAGAAATGGGGCTAGTCCTACCATCTATGTCCGCGTACAAAGATCGGTTTGAAGAAGTAACGCCGTGCATCGAGGCCGTCTACGAAAGGCACCAGAACCGCATCATTGATGAGATAAGGGCGGTCTGCCAGGTGTAAAAACAACGAGAAAAATAACTGAAATCTTTCAAAACTAACTCAGAACGATCCGTGGGATATCGCAGTAGACGGCGCGTATGATTCGAGAGGCCACAGTGCAGAGCTTTGCAAGGTACTAGCTGTGGATCTCAGGACCAAACTCTGCATACACACGGAAGTCCTAGAACGCTCAGAGACAGGTAGGTAGAAGAGCCGACACAGTCATTCCCGAGTTTTCTTTTGCAGATAACATCAGTCAAAGAATGGAAAAGGAGGGCTTCCGCAGAATGCTGCGGTGGTTCAAGTCAAGGGAAATACCCATCCGTTCGGTAGCAACCGACCGCAGCGCAGTGTTTGGGAAGGAGATCAAGTCGTACAACAAAGAATATGGGGAGACCACGAGTGGAAGCTGGATAGGTGGCATCTGGCCAGATACCTTGACAATAATCTTCACGCGGTAAGCAACCAGGATCTGTTCGACAAAAACCTGCGCGAGATTCTACTCAACCGGGTCTTCCAAAAGGATATCGCACTGGCTAGTTCTCTGAGTGGAAGTAGCCAGTGCGAGACCAAGAACGCTTTGGACAGATTATACTGCCCAAAGGATCTTTTCCTGTAAGTAGGCCTGTACTGTTTTTATGATAACAAGTAGCACCGATTCAACCTCCTTTTCAGACCGCCGCAAACCCACTACCTCTATGTGTCGATGTCGATTATGCATCTAAACGCGTTGACAGAGGCAGAGTTGAAAGGGGAAAGGGTAGTTGAAAGGCGCGACAGAATCCGTCGGAAGTTCAACGAGTATGACACTGAGCTCCGGCACAAAACCCCTGTGGAACATTTATGGAGGAAAGAAATCTTCATTTCGTTCGTCAATCGCCGTTCACGCATGGGAGAGATCCTGAAGAGACTGAGCCGGCGGATGAGACACCAGAGTAGACGGGGAAGAGAAGAGATGCACATATAAAAGAGAAGGGAAACAGAAGTAAAAAAAAGTGGCAACATATATGTAAATGAAAAAAAAATGTAAGTGTAATAAAAGTAAAAGCAGAAAACTAATGAAGGCACTCACTTTTTTTCGTGTAAGTCCATGGCTTTAGCGTCAGGTCCATGATTGTTAGCGTTCACACAGCATAGCTAGTCTGTAACAAAACGAATTCCTAATAACGAGCACTTTCTTGGCGAGATTAGGGCGACACTTCTCACATTTATCAAAATTTCTGAGCACTGCCATCAAAAACTGCAGTAAGAACTGAACGTAATACGAGCAGCAACATATTGGGGTGGTAATGAAAGTTACAATGATAGCAAATGACAGTTACACACACTAATCGCGAAAAACAAAGATGGATGAGAACAATGTCCTTTTCAAAGTTGTCGAGACGCAGACTAATTAGAGTCCGACAGTCCCCTCGCCGACTTGGGCGGTGCCACCAACTTCAGATGAGCTGGCACTCCCCGGGTGCTCGTGGTCCCCTCCCCAATTATGTCCCCCCACATTTATATTTATGTTATAATGATAAAAGAATCTAGTCAGAACTGTTATGTTAGTGCAAAGGAAAGAAACTAAGGGTTGAGGGATCAAGTTAAGAGAATAGCTAACTCTTCAAACTTGACATGGAGGTCCCGGGTTTTTCTGAACTTTTGTCGCATAACTTTTCTTGCAAAAAAAAATCCAAGCATAGATTAGGCCAATCTCTGCTGAATACTCCCACCACCGGCACCAGCCCTCATCTCCTACGTGAATTACGTAGCCCTTTTCTATATGTACCCTTTCTTTTCTCTTTTCCCTTGAGTCCAGGCGATGGGTCTGAGTGTGTTTTCTTATTTTGTCATATTTTTCGTGTCATAGTGGGTAATGAATATAATCATGTATTCTTTACCTACTATGTGTTTGACAGTCTGTTTTTTTGTTTCATAGCAGATAATGAATATATTACTATATTGAATATGGTAGATGGTATTTTTTATCTGCTGTGATTCCTTACAGTTTTTACCGTGATACCACGTGAAGAACCGTAAATATTTACTCTTTCTTCCTCTAGCCCCCTTTTCCCACCCTATTTATTTAGAAACAAATCTAAAACTTTTCATTTTTTCGAAACATATTTTACTTTGTAACTTCCACATTTTCTCTTTCACAATCTATTATCTTTCCAAAACATATAAAATTCATTTTCACAACATTTTTCACCACATTTCGCCTACAACTTTACACATTATTTTCAGTCATTTATTTTCTTCTTTCTCACTTTCCATCGTTATTTTTTACACAAACTCAGGGACTCTATCGCCAACGCCGGCACTGTACCTATGTATAAAATTTTTATAATTGTGTTTAATTGCCATAGCCGTTTTGTAATTGCTTGCCACAGTTCCACAGGCGATCTAGACGCCTGTGGATAGTCTGTGGATAGTCCGTAGGCTATGTTGCCTATAGTGATTCCATAGGCTATGTGATAGCCCATGGGGTTACCAGAGGCCCTTTTCCCAGTCATGCCGATTGAGAGCGTCATTATGTATCTTGAGTGGCATATAGGCGCCAGGAGCTATCCTAAGCTCGGCGAAATTTGTTTTAAGCAGTAATACAATACTGCCTAGTTTGCGCTCAGGTCAGTTTCGCTTAATTACCCATTTGTAAAAAAAATATGCAGCTCTGGACCAGATAATTCTCGACTACTGAAGCGAGTTGGATAATTACTGATCACTTTATCCAACTTCGTCATAGAGGTATTCATTTCCTTGTTTTCCGTGTTCTATTATTATACTGTATTCATAACACTTTTGTGCAATTTTGTATTGAGCATTGTGCTACTCCAACCGAAACAAAAAAAAGAATCATTCGTTTTATGTTTGCAAAACAGATTTCAGGAAAAAGTTCCAGCTTTATTTCAGACGTTCAGAGCGTTTGAAACAAAAAAATGGAATGATCCTCGCTAGAGAACATAAAGTGTCATTAGCAATACTAATCATCTTTTCTCTTTACGCAGCAGCTAGTGACACTTGTAAGTTTGCCCGCAAGCCATCGCACTATAAAAAGAAATACTTCTCTGATTGGCGGCTCGGAGAAGGCTTTCAGTCAATCACTTTTCACCCACGCCCTTGTAATCAACGTTAGGGAAGTGTTCCCTCCTGAGTTGCTTACAGGTTAAAAAAAATGTCAATATCCTGTGAAATAACATGTCCATATCATAGCTTACCATGCTCTGTAACGGCAAATGTTCGGAATATACATTCCGTTCCTTCGTCGTCTTCGAACATAGTTCATTTTGCTGTTTGCTGTCAATTTATGTATTATTCCATGCGTTATTCCATGCTCGTAATCCCATTTTGTACAACACTGCTCATCATTTCTTTACGGATGTCATCATATCCCCGTATGTCATATTTCGTCACCAGCGCGGTCTTTATCCGCTTTCCTATACCCTATGTCATATTTTACCACCATGCGGAAATCCCCATCCGCCTCCCCAAAGGATTACGGAAGCCTCATCCGTACCCCGATTTGCTCATTATTTAAATCATCTCATCATTCGTCCATGTTGCTCCAATTCTTCAGCTCGAGACGAGCTCATTCTTCTGACGGGGCGTGCGAAAGCGTGCCTTCTCATCCCTTTCCCCCTGTCCTTGTGAAGAAAAATCCAGCAACTAACACCTGAAGCAAGTCTGCCCTCAACCAAAGCAGCAAATGGTAAATGGGCAACATCAACTACACGTATGGGCAACGTCAACTGTACATATGGGCAACGTCCAACTCAATGATGACATCGCAACCATGCATATGGGCAACTTCCAACTTCCAATCCACTGATGACAACTCCAAAATAACCATGGCCACTTCAAAAGCTCGAGGACGAGCTTTGCCATGGAACGGACATGTCGAGACGCAGACTAATTAGAGTCCGACAGTCCCCTCGCCGACTTGGGCGGTGCCACCAACTTCAGATGAGCTGGCACTCCCCGGGTGCTCGTGGTCCCCTCCCCAATTATGTCCCCCCACATTTATATTTATGTTATAATGATAAAAGAATCTAGTCAGAACTGTTATGTTAGTGCAAAGGAAAGAAACTAAGGGTTGAGGGATCAAGTTAAGAGAATAGCTAACTCTTCAAACTTGACAAAGTATTAGGTTGAACCGAAAGTTCTGTCGCACCATTTTCAAAAAATCATAACTTCTTTCTGTCACGACGATTTTGCGCAATTCAAATTTTTTCTGAAAGCGTAAAGCATGTAGTTTCCAAAAGTTCCCTGGGAAGTTCCCGACATGTTCAGGTGGCGGAGATAAAAATGAAAGAACGAGATCATCCGAAATTCGGAATTTTTGAGCAAGAATTCTAAAAGTTCGGAAACTGTACGATAAAATCCAGAGAAGCCATTATCCTAATTTTTCTTACATTTGATTACTAACTGAGTCAAGTTTGTGCTGATCGAGGTCTTCTTTCAAAAGTTATGATTTTTTGAAAAATAATGTCGAAAAATCAATTTCCTAAGAATTCTTAAGAAATGGATTTTTTGGCTTTTTTTTCAAAAATTCATAACTTCTGAAAGAAGACCTCGATCAGCACAAACTTGACTCAGTTAGTAATCAAATGTAAGAAAAATTAGGATAATGGCTCCTCCAGATTTTATCGCACAGTTTCTGAATTTTTAGAATTCTTGCTTAAAAATTCCGAATTTCGGATGATCTCGTTCTTTCATTTTTATCTCTGCCATCTGAGCATGTCGGAAACTCCCCAGCGAGCTTTTGGAAACTACATGCTTCACGCTTTCAGACAAAATTTGAATTGCGCAAAATAGTCGTGATCGAAAGAAGTTATGATTTTTTGAAAATGGTGCGACAGAACTTTCGGTTCAACCTAATACATAGTTATGAGGGCAGAAGGACGGTAATTTGCACAGACGATTGAGCATATTCACGAAAAACAAAAAAGGGGATGAGAACAACGTGCTTTGCAGAAAACAGGAAAAGACAGAAGAACAGCAATTCGCACGTATGAATGAGCAACATCGACAGCTTCGTTACATACACATTGAAAAATTCCGGACCATTCGACACGTCTCTCTACATACACAGGACGTTAAGTTGGCTCGTCATTGTGGTGAGAGACCTGCAATCATGTTGTTGGCCAGCAAAAGAAAAACGAAGAACAAAAAGCAAGAAACCTACCTACACAAAAATAACGTAGCAAAAAAAAGAACTTTCTCTTCGACCATGCTTACGCATCCTACTAGTTTCGCAGCATTGTTTACTAAAACAGCTGGCATATGGTTACTGTAACGATATATGCAAAAGACAAACTCACTTCCATTTGTAGCCTTACTGAAAATGTAAAATTTGCGAGTGATCTCCAACATATTAGCTGTGAAAAGCTAGAGTCGACCGATTTCCGCAAAACCGACGGAGAAATGAGCGTCTCAGTCTCATCCATAACCCACTCAGAGTGCAGATCATTTCATATAA